TAGAGTGACCTTCTCTTAGATGGATTGCCTTACAGGGCTGACGAGCTCCATCTGCCCGGGGGGCTGGGAATCGAACCCGGGTCGCAGCGGTGAGAGTCCTGCACCCTAACCACTAGACCACCAGAGGCCCCCCCTCTTTTGTACACTTTTGTTATTAATATCGTTGCTGCTACTGTTCTTTTTCTTATCTCATTGCTGGTTCCAGTAAGTTCCTATCCCAACCCGTGGTCTTCATCTTGTACCTCAAATTCTCCTCTCCAACCACCAGCAAAGGGGGCAGGGGGAGAGGGGAAACGAGTGAACAGCAGCCTGGTCTGGAGTTTCAGTGGGAACACTGAACTGGGGATTACACTTCCTAAACCATGACAAACATAAAGGAGAAATGCAGTTGTGGTTGAAAGAGGACACAGTGAACCTGCATCAAATGTAGTCATTAAGTATTGTGTGCTCTGAGTGTATTGGAACAGTGCATTTCCCTGTGGCTGTTCCCAGAGCTCCCAAAGTCCTACCCGTGGGATCTTGCTTTTTCAGCAGCTTTCACCAAACTTGCATGACCCTTAATCATGATGTTAGCATAGAATGGAGCTGCTTATTCTTAGGTGGGGCTTTAAGGGTCATTATTTTCTCCAGTGAATCCTGCTTCATCTCTGGCGAGAGCTAAAGACTGGTTGATCCTTTTTCTACATATTCCAAAATAACTTAGGCTTCATCTTCCCATAAAACAACTTCAACGATCCTTGTGGCTGTTGCAGATTAAGAGCCTGGTGGCTGTGTCCTTGTTTTTGAATTCCTGAGATAACTGATTTTACAGCAATACTTTAAATTAGGAACGTGTGGCTTTTGCTCATGCCCTGCTCTGGAATGATCTCTGTATGTTCGTGTTTTCTTTACCTGAAATATTTAGTGTGGAACTGGTACATAAAAGGAAGGTTCATCTTTAGGCTAGAGTGAGAGAAGAAAGCATCCTGAATATGTGAGACCTACTTTTTGAAAGAAAGCTTTTTATTTGTACTGCTTGTGTTTGTTTTTTTTTTTTTTCCAGAATGTCATCCTTTCAGTCAAATGTAGAAGACTACTTTCATTGAAATCAAATCCGATTCTGGAAAGGAGTGCTGGAAGAGAATTGCACTGAGTTGCACAATTACTGGATTACTGGAAAACTTATAAAAAAAATCTGCCAGATTTGTTAGTTCCATGCACACAAACAAAAAGAATTGTAATTGTGGACAGGGACTGAAATAGAGTGTCAGAACTGACATATAAACACCTCACAAAACTGGGTAAGTGTATTGGAAGCTTTCTGTTCAGAAGCGTGTGGATTAGTGCAAGTGGTCTTCTCAAACCCTTTTATTATACACTCTTATGTAGGAAAAAAGGGAGATAGGTCTTGCAAAAGAAAAACAAAACAACCAAAACAATAAAAAGAGTATAATGTCCTTTGTACATTGTTTTGCCACTGAGTAGCAGGAAGTACTAGCAGGAAGGTTACACTAATGCACTAATGCATTGTGCTCATGTGCTAGAACAAGTTTTATTTTACTTTAAATCTGCTTAGTAGACCCAAGTTATCCCATTATTTTTGAGGAATTGCAGGGCATCATTAGGATATGGCTATGCAGATAAACTCATATATTTGTTATATGCAAGCATACAGCTGAATCTATTTGGATGCAGATTTTTCTAGAAAGGTGTGCGTGTATCTTTTAACCTTTCCTTCTAAGTTAATTTCTCATGCAATTTATGCTTGCACTGCTATGAATGTTTCTTTTCTAGGATTTATTTTCTTCTGATCATCTCTGTGCTACTCAGTAGATTTTTCTCTTGGTTTGTTAGACTCCTGCCCTTTCTTTGTTCCTTCCATTTGGGATATCTGCAAGGTCCTGGCATTTTTCTCATATTTCATTTATACTTTTAGGGTAACATTTTTGTAGGTTCCACTTGTGCTAGTTAGAGTGATGGTGGCTTGGATGCCCAAATGTTCCCTTTAATGAAGAGAGTAGTTGGAGCTTTACTCCCTGGCCACTGCGGCTCTTCAGCAAGGAATGAGGGTGGAGATCATTCAGAGCCTGTGGTGTGCCTTTTCCAGGCTGTTTTGAATATTAGGGTGGCTGGGCCTGAGATCAGATTTACACTGCTTGCTCTCAGGCTTTCCATTTGGGTGACAACCTGTGGATGAATTAGTCATACCTCTCTCCTCATAAACACTAACAACCACAGATTAAGTGACCGAGGAGAAAGCTGTCCTGTGATGAGAGAGGAAAAGAATGCTTGGCATTTCATTAACAAATGC